GCAGGTTCATTTCCGGAAGGCTCCGCCCTTGGTTTGAACTGGACCCAGGTTCGGTGCCATCTGAGCCTCTGGCTCAGGGGTGTGGGCGCAGCCCACCCGGAACCCGTGGGCTACGAGGGAAACCCACGGTCCAGGCGCTCCGGGTGAGTCCCTCGGCGCCCTCTGACCTCTCTGGAGAAGGACTCACTGCTGAGGCCACCGGCTGGGCCACGCCCCCGGCCCGCAGCAGGGAGAAGGGTCATTCTAGGTCACTCCACCCCAGGCAGGAACCATCTCAGCATTTCAGCTGGGCACACAGCTGCCCAGAATAAAGACCACATTTCCCCGCTGTGCTGCAGCTCGGGGTGTGACTTACGCTCTGGCCGGCGGTGTGTGAACCGAGCGTCGTGGTGTAACTTCCAGACGTTTCCTAAAGGCAGCCCGGGCCGCTCCCCTCTGCTCCCTGCTCCTAGCCCCCCTCCTCCCCGCCCCCACGTCTAAATCGCGTGATGGCTGAGTTTAAGCTCCACCTCGGACCAGGAGGGCCACATGAGCTGGAAGAAGCCTCAGTCCTTGCGTCCCACACAGAGCCAACCGGTGACCTTCCCCTGGGCTCGGACATGAGACCAAACGGGGGTTGGGGGTGGGCAGGGGCCGGGATAGTCTGACTCAGAGAAAGACCCTGCTTCCCCTCCAGACTCGGAATGAGAGGAGCTCCGGGAACGTAGAACAGGCGGCACCGGCCATGAGGCTGCGCAGGTCCTGACGGTGCAGCCGGAGCCGGGCAGAGGCCTCTCTGCGCCCAGCCGATGCTCTGCATGGAGAGAGTGGCTGCTGAGCGTGGACCCTGGGCTCTGCTGTTCCCCCTGGACAGTCCCCCCCAGAGCCTCCCACCTGCCAGTCCTCTGTGCTGGAGCCTCCACGAAGCCCCTGCTCCAACACAAAGCAGTGTCACCTTCACTGCGGAACTGTCTGAGGGGTGTAAAAGGGTAATTACAGCTGCTTCCAGCTCGCCTAAGGGCTGTGTCCCTGCAGGAATCGCAGCCGTGGGGGGAGGAGCAGGAGCACCAGAGAAGGTTCTCAGAGAAGGTTCTCGTCTGCAGAGGAGCTGGCCTCTGGGGGGAGGGGGAGCCAGTGCCTTCCCCGTGAACAGCCCCGAGGCTGGGGTGGTGGGAGGTGGGGGGCAGGAAAAGGCTCTGTAGGAAGTCTCGGCCTCGGACTGCCCTCCTGGAATAATACCAGCCGGGCTTGGCATGCCCGATAAGGAAAACCCAGGGTGCCCGCCCGCCCACACAGTTCCTGCTGGCCTCAGACCAAGGCCGTGTTTAGGGTTCCTCCACCAGCTCTTGCTAGGCCTGGAGGCGGGGTGCCCCCAGCAGGCAGCTCCTGAGCTAAGGACACCCGGGTCTGAGGTTTCCTGGACCCAGCAGAGAGGGGTCTGATTCCCCACAGGGAGCTGGTCACCAGGCCCCGGGGCCTGTGGCTGGGTGAGTGTCCCCCCACAACAGGACATAAGCAATGGCCATTAGGCCCTGCCTCCAGGCCATGTCCGCACCCATCTGTCTGAAGGGTATTCTGGCCTTGGCTGGTGTCGCATAGTTGGTTGGAGCGTCGTCCAGTACACCAAAAGGTGGCGGGTTCCATCCCCAGTGGGGATGTGTACAGGAGGAAACTGATGAACGTTTCTCTCTCACGTTGATGTTTCTCTCTCTCTCTCTCTCCAAAACAAACAAACAAACAAACAAACCAATAAACATAACCTCAGGTGAGAATAATTTTCTTAATTAAAAGAAAAGAATGAATTCTCACTCGCCAGCTCACAGGCCTTCAGTGACTGCCACGAATGAAGTCCGTCCGTCTGTCCGTCCTGTCCCGTGTCTCTCCCCCCCACCCCCACCCCGCATGAGGTACTTAGGCCTCCACTCTGAGTTGATGGTCTGCAAGTCCCTCACAGGCACCCCACCCTTCGCTCTCTCCCCACTTCGCTCCTATCCCTGCCCTGCCAGGGAGACCCAGGCTGTCACTCCCTCTGCACCCGCCGACCAGGGCGGCCCTGCATCAGGTGCACCCTGCGGTCCAGCCCCCACCCCTCCACCCCCACTCACCCCTGCCCCCAGTCTGTGCATGCTCATACTCCCAGCCCAGGCTCCCCCTGACCCTCAGCCCCGAGGTCTCCAAGATCCAGTCCGATGCCTTCCCCCTTCCATCATAAGGGAGCAGCAACAGCAGCTGCCATTCCAGTGACCCTAATGGGCTGGCACCCATGTTACCCGCCATCAGACATCATCCCAGTTACCCCACCCGGCATCCCCTGGAAAAACCACCTGCCACCTGCGTCTCACAGAAAACCAGCGGGGACCTGGCCAGGACCGCACAGCAGCCAAGTGCAGATTCGGGCCTGGCGTGGCTCAGCGGTGGAGCATCGGCCTGTGAGCCAGGAGGTCCCGGTGTGATTCCTGGTCAGGCCACATGCCCGGGTTGTGGGATCAATCCCCAGTGTGGGGAGTGCAGGAGGCAGCCGATCCATGATTCTCTGTCATCATTGATGTTTCTCTCTCTCTCCCCCTCTCCCTTCCTCTCTGAAAACAAATGAAAATATATATACTTTTAAAAGGCCCAGGCTCAGATACAATCTATCTGTCCCCTCCAAACGCGGGGAGTGCCCCTTTCGCTCTGAGAAAGCCTCCTTTGAGGCGCCTCCCTAGCTCCCCCAGGACCAGCACCAGCACCAGCACCAGCACCCTTGTCGATGGGCTTGTGGAGGACACGGGCCACGGCTGCCAACCTGCCTCTCCTCCCACTCACCGGGACTTCTCACCTTTTCGCACCATCTCCTGTCCCTCCATACACAGTCCGTGTCCAACACACACACCTCGTGGGCAGAGACTACTCTCTTTCCAGAACCAACATTCACCCAGAACATCATCCAGCTCTTCCTCCCCACCGGGGACTCTGGGTGGACCCAGGAAAGGAACACGAGAAAAGGGGAGTTGGCACCGTCACTGACCACTGGAGCCCAAGGAGGAAAGGGTGCCGGTGTGCCCACGCTCCCCCGCCCCCTGGAAGTCAGCTCCACCGTCTGCCCCACCGGATGGATGCCAGGCGCCCGGGGAGTCAGGCCCCGAGACGCCCCACAGGACGACCGGGGTCAGGCACCCCGCTCTCTCACAGGGCATGTTCCTTAAAGATACAAGAACTCAGCGGCTCCCCTGGCCAGGGTCCGCGGCTGCACCTATGCCGGGGGCTTGCTAGGTGCAGGGCCTCTGGCCATGGGCATGGCAGTCAAGCTCAGGGCTCAGGAGCTAGGGAGCCTGGGCAGAGACCTGGCGATGATGCCACTTTCGGGCTGTGATGCCAGTGTGTCTGCTGGCCTCTCCGAGCCTCCGCACCGTCTATAAAATCAGGGAGGAGCCCATGGCCTCCTTCATGAGCGCAGGGAGAGAGTATAAGGAGAAGGCTCAGCCCAGTGCCAGGCACCTGGCACGCCCAATACGTGCCGCTCGCTATGCCCACCACGGTCCTGGGAGCCCAACGGCCCACTGGTCCCACCATCACACAAAACAAGGCCTGAGGCAGGTCACCAGGTCAGGGGTCCAGGCCGTGTGCTCAGGGGCACAGCAGGGGCTGCCTCTCGAACCAGGACGCACCCCTGCCACGCCCGAGGGCAGGCCAAGCACAGCTCCGTACCATTAAACAAGAGCGCTCGCAGGGACGCCTGGCCAGGCAGAGAACCAGGGGAGACTGTGAACAAGAATCTTTCCAAAAAGCATAAACAAACACCTTGGGAAGGCAGGCCGACTCCTCCGAGCTGCCGGGCCGGGAGGTGGGGACCGGAGGCCACAGCTGGCAGCAGAAGCTCCCGCGGGGAAGAGGGAGGCTCCGCAGCGAGGACACGGCGTACCCCGCGAGGGCCAGCCGCCACATTACACAGCTCCGCGTGTTTGATTAAAGCCCTTTAATGTCTGTCTCCTTCACCCGGTTACATAACCGCACTCGCCCGCCGCCCTGAACTCTCCACACTCACACACACACATTCACACTCATACACACACATACTCACACACACTCACACACACACTCACATTCATACACACACACACACACACACACAAGCCTGCTCTTACACACACTCACACTCACGCACAGGCCTGCTCTTACACACACACATATACACACACACACACACCTGCTCTTACACACACTCACACTCACACACACACACACACCTGCTCTTATACTCTCACACACACACACACACACACACACACACACCTACCTGCTCTTACACACACTCACACACACGCACAGGCCTGCTCTTACACACACACACATATACACACACAGGCACAGGCCTGCTCTTACACACACACATATACACACACACACACACCTGCTCTTACACACACCCACACACACACACACACACACACACGCACGCACAGGCCTGCTCTTACACACACTCACACACACACACCTGCTCTTACACACACATGCACATACACACACACCCCTGCTCTTACACACACTCACACACACGCACAGGCCTGCTCTTACACACACGCACACACACACACACGCCTGCTCTTACACACACACACCCCTGCTCTTACACACGCACACACACGCACAGGCCTGCTCTTACACACACACACACACACACACGCACACACACACACGCACAGGCCTGCTCTTACACACACGCACACACACACCTGCTCTTACACACACACACACACACACGCACAGGCCTGCTCTCTAACCGCCGTGTGACGGGGACACCTCATGGCCACTCTGTGGCTCCCAGACAGCAAAGCCAGGCCGTGTGGAAGTGGTGGCGGCCGCTCTCCAGGGAGCACTCTGGGCTTTCACTCCCCAGCTCTGCCGGGCGCAGAGGGAGGACGGGCCTCCCACAGTGTGGCCCCTGGAACCCAACTGCTTCCGTCCCGCGTGCTCGGAGACCGGAGCCCTCCCGCCCGGCGGTGGCACAGCGTGGGCCCCCAGCAGAGCCGCCGCGGCCGTACCTTTCATGTAGGCCTCGATCTTCCGGATGAGCTCGTAGGACTTGGAGCGGTCGAGCAGCGTCCTGATGGCAGGAAGGGGGTCCAGGACAATGGTCTCGGGGTGGGCGTCGATGTATTCCTGAAAGGAAAGCACACCCCTTCCGGTGAGAGGAGGCTGAACAGTGGATACCAAGAAGCAAGACTTCACCCCACACCCCCCACCTCATCCCCTGCCCCCCATCTTCTCCCTCTCCCAGCAGCCCTCAGTCCCCTCTGGGGCCTCCACCCCTGGCCCCTGATCCTAGGGCTGTGGTGAGACCCATCAGGGCATTCTGCCCCTGGGGCCACTGGCCCATGGAGGTTATGTGACCCGAGCTGGCCCAATCAGAGGCAGGCTCAGAGCTCCTGCTGAGAGCCCTGGGGAAGGAGCGCTCTCCTCACTGAGACGCTGGGAGCTGTTTCCGGGGATCGGAAGGAGAGGCCTGATAGAGCCCAAACTCAGGATGGAACCCAAACGGAGAAAACACCCGGCAGTGCTGACACCGACACCAGTGCTGCTCCCCGCACGCCCGCGCCCCTGGCTGCACGCAGTGGCCCGCACCCAGGCCGGTAAGGACGCTGAGGCAGGGCCGGCGGCGGCGGCCAGATGCCCAGACTCATTAGAGGGGCTGCGGGAAGGCCTGGCAATGAGGCTCTGGCCACGGGGACCGGCTGGCCCTCGCGTGCTCACCCCAACAGGCGCTGCTCCCGTCCCCACGAGCCTCGCGGCCGCGAGGGGAAATGCAAGGGGAGCAGAACTGGCCTCGAAGGAAGTGGCGATCTTCCTGGGGAAAGAACACCAGTGCGCGTGTGGAAGCGGAAACTACTCTCCGTTTCCGCTGAACAAGCCAGGGCAGAGTGTTTCTGGGAAAAGAACCCGGGATTCTGGCCCTGCCGCCATCCCCGCTGTGACGGCCGGAGCCCCGAGCCACGTGCACGGGGGAGAGCAAGCGTGTGAGGCCAGCACAGCGATGGCACTGTCCCTCACCCCAAGGCTAACGCTGTGCAATGCTGGCGCCAGGAGACGAGCTCCGTGGGAAGCCTGGGGTGAGGCAGGCCCGTCCGCAGCTGCTGTTGCCGTGGGCTGAAATGAGCCCCGACCCCTACCTCCAACAGATCCGGTCAAGTCCTAAAGCCCAGGTCCTTTGAACGTGACCTTATTTGGAAACGGCGTCTTCAGATAAGTAATCGGGTTAACATGTGCTCATACTGGACCAGGATGGGTCCTAATCCATTGGCCGGTGTCTTTAAGACCAGGGAGATCTGGACACAGAGACCCGGGAAGAAGGCCGTGTGCACACGGCCACGGGAGTCACACAGCTACAGGGACGGGCAAGGACACCTGGCCCCACGGAAGCCGGAAGGGAGACACAGAGCAGGGGCTCGCTCTCCGAGTGCCCCTGAAGGAACCCACCCTGCAGACGCCTGGATTTTAGCCTTCCAGCCGCCTTCACGGTGAGAGCTTACGTTTCTGCCATCTTAGGGCCCTCGGTAATGGCCAGCCCAAGGAACGAGTAGATAAGCTTCATTCACCCGCCTGCCTCCCAGTCCACTAGATCGGCCTGCGAGGTCAGCAGAGGCCAGGGAAAGGGCCGCCCTCTTCTTTTCTAGTAACCTTATCAGCAGAAATAAAGCTCCCTTTAGAATCACTCTTGTTTTCGGTGAGCCTATTTTGGTTCCTAGCAATCATTTTTAAGAGCTCTCCACACAAAAGCCAGAGATCATATCTGCTTCTCTGAAATCTGCTCCCCACCGAGTTTCATACCGGAGGGTCTGGCGAGGGGCTCATGTGTGCCCTTTTCTCTGAGTGTTTAAAACCACGTCTCTGCCCCTAGCAGGTCGCAGAGCACACACAGGGAGGCCTGCTTCCCACCCCACACCCAGAACTCCACGGGGCCTACACACTCTCACCCTGAGAAGGTCCTCTCCCCACGTTTAGTAGGTCTAAAAGCAGAAATCAAAGCCACTTCCACGGCCTGATCATCCTTCTCCTCTTCCTCCTCCTCCTCCTCCTCCTCCCCTCCTCCTCCTCCTCCTCCTCCTCCTCCTCCTCCTCCCCCCCCTCCTCCTCCCCCCCTCCTCCTCCTCCCTCTCCTCCTCCAGAGAGAGGTGACTGTTGGCAAGTGAGCTCAGGGCTGGCTCACTGCCCTGGTTCGGCAAAATGAGCCAGCAGCCGAGGCAGGCATTGCCACCCTCAGGGGATGTGGGGCGAAGCTATGAGGTTTGTCCTTCAGGCCAAGGGGCCATGCCCTGGTCCTCTCTCTGGTCCACACCTTGGCCTCACCTGAGTGCCTGCACCTCCCCACGTGGGCTCCCCATCGGCAACTGCCCAGCACTCCTTCATCCGACCGCATCCTCCCATCCTCCAACCAGGATCCTCCGAACAACGCTGCCAAGGAGACACCAGCATCCACACGTACGTGTGAAGCCACATTAGTGTCCTCCTGTTGACAGGCCACCCACTCACCAAACCCCACCCCAACGACAGCCCTTGGCGCCGTGCCGGTTTCCTCGCCCCTGACTCCAGTCCACGCTGGAGAAAAGCAAGCACCCATGTTCACAAAGGCAGGCTTCGAGGCCACACAGGGCTGTTCTAGAACCGGACAGACAGCCGGTGTGAGGGGCAGGCGAGGGCAGGGACACCCCCTCCTGCCTTCCACAAGGAGCCGGAGCAGAGAGGCCCATGTGGATGGACTGGCCATTCCTCCCCCAACTACTGAGTCACACAGAACGCGGCCCTCCCGCTGCCTCCCCCTCAGACACGACCCCTTCCCAGGGAGAGTAGCAGGCGGTTCTGGGTCCACTTTTATTCCCCAGGGCAGTGACCTCTGAAGAGGGAACTCAGAGCCATTAAGACAGGAATTCAAGCCAAACTCATGAGGGGAAGAAGCTAGAAGAGAAGGGAAAGTATGTGACAAGCAGGCGCCAACCAGCTTTTGACCCGGGATGAAAGCATCCGCATTCATAGAGGAATTATTCCTAAACTTGATCTCTTCTGGGACGAGGACAGAGAGGGTAAAGAGAGGGCTTTTCCAATCCCGCCCCTCCCTGCCCCCCCTTCTAATCCACAAGTGGATTTTCTTCAAGCATTTCAGCTGTATCTATTGTATCCAAGGCCTCATGCATTTTTCACAAGTCTCTTAGAATCAGCAAACAAACTGCTGGACGGGAGCGCCCTGGACCATCCTGTCTGCATGCAGAGAGGGAAGGCCACTGTCTCCATGGCAGAGGGTAAACACGCTCCCTGAGAGGGCCTGCCGGCTCTGAGCAGACTGGACAGTCTGGAAAAGCAGAAATCTACAGCCGTGGGTCAGCAGGGCCAGGAGGAGGCCTAGAGAATGCCGACTGTTGAGGGGACAGAGGAGCAGTGACCGGCAGATGCGCCCCCCAAGCCCCAGCCCATCGGATACTATAGGATGCTGGTGCCAAGAGGCTCGCCAGTCCCTCTGCAGAACCGGAGGGAGTCAAGGTCTCCCGCTGAGAATCTGTGCCAAACCAGAGGACTGGGATGGACATCAGAGATACCGTTTCCTCTGCAGTTCCATTTACGGGCAGGGAATGAGCAGGGATTGAGATGCAAGGATTTGCTCTCATCCAATAGGAAATGCAGGTAGAAGTCCCGAGTTCAAATCCTGCCTCCACCATTTACTCCATGTCTGTGCAAAAGAAACTACATGTCCAAGGTTGTTTCCTTGTATATAAAATAATAAAAACTATCCCAGGGCGATCTCACATACAGAGATCATGTATATGAAAGGATGCTCATGATTCTGTAACCCACGGACTCTCTGAGCTCATCCTGCCCAGGCCCACCCAGCAGACAGAGAGGGGCATGCCACCAGCTCGGCACCTCGGATGTGCCGACCCACCTGCTGGTGCCTGGTGCAGGACACAACCCCCACCCCACAGCAGCAGGGGTTCCAGGGAGCACCCCTCTGCGAACAGCCCAGGTCCTGACAGTCCCCAATGCCACTGCAGCCGACCAACCTGCTCCCTACACAGCGAAGGCAGGACGCCCACCCACAGTTCCTGCCCTTGGATTTCTGGAGGTAAGGGGGCTCTGGCCCACTCCCACAAAACACTGTGCTCCCTTTCTAGAAAGGAGTGATTCCCAGAAACTACTTACAGATAACACGATGTCTGACACTCGTTTCAAAAGAAACGGGTGCAGCACAGACGGAGCGCGCGGCCCAGAATTTGCTAATGTGTGACCCCGGGTGATGGTACTCAGGAGGGCACTGCAGCATTCTCCTCTCAGTTAGTTTTAAATGTCCTATAACGACAAGTTTCGGGGGAAATTGGGGAAGGGGGCTCGATAATCAGATCCTCCCTTTCTTCAACACCCTGGTTGTGCCAGAAGCAGGGTCAGACACCAACACTATCTTTCAGGAAGGAGCAAGACTCATCCTATCCAGATGGGAATCCTTATCACAGAAAATAATAAAAATAAGCATAATTGATAATATCCTCTCTAATAAGAAGAATATTCAAATTAGCCATCACTCTGCTACACCCACAAGCCATACCCACCAGCCAATCAGGAGTGAGTATGCAAATTAACCCAACCAAGATGGCTGCAGCCACCGAGTGAGCAGGAGGCTTGGGTTTCCCTGACAACGGAGGAAGCCAAGCTTTCCGCACACCCTGACAGGCCCAGGCCTCCACTCAATGCTACAAAGTTTCAATTATAAAAGATAAATAAATCACAACAAAAATGGCTGTGGCCACGAGCAAGCAGGAGGCTTGGCTCCGTTCAAGGCTATAAAGTTTCAATTATAGAAAATAAATAAACCCCAGATACCAGGGCCTCCACTTGGGTTGCTGGGAGGGCATGGCAGCCTGCAAACCACCACAGGCCCCTCGCCCAGGCCGCCCCACACCCCAAGGGAACCCCCACCTTGATCCGGGACACTTCCAGGGCAAACCAGCCAGCCTCCACCCATGCACCAGGCCTCTAGCCTATCTAATCCTATCTAATATAAAAGAATAATATGCAAATTGACTGTCACTCCAAACATAAGATGGCTGCCCCCATGTGGACACAAGATGGCCGCCACAAGATGGTCAGGAGGGAAGGGCAGATGGGAGGGTCTAGGTCTG